ATAAAAGATTACATGTTAGTTTAGATGTTATTATGGTTTATATAACGCTCCAAATTTTAGGTTAATAGTTTCGGGTAAACCTAAGAGAGTTTTAGATAAATCAATTAGTCTTGTAAGAAGTCTTGACCTAAATTTAGTTGGTTTAGGCATAAGATGGACCCAATTTTTTATAATAAAAAATGCATCTTTATTTGAGACCAAATCTTGAGGGACCAAGGGAGTAATTATCCCATCTTTTATTTCAAATGATGAATCCCTTAATTGAAATAAGGTCACATGACAGAGCTTCTCTTTTTCTTCACCTTTCTTTGTCTTCTACCTCCCTTTATCTTCTTCCTTCCCTTCAAGTGGTATATCAAGGTGGTAACTTTGTAGCATTCCAAACCTAGTCCAAAAATCTTCATGTAAGAATATTAACCTCCTCATCCCAAGCTTCCTTTTAAGCCTTCAACATCAAGGTTTGGTCATGATTGTCATAAGTAGGGTTTAGTAGGGGCTTACGAAAGTTGTGTGTTTCAGCTCGCTTTTAGTAAATTTAAGCCATATGAAGTATTCTTCATCTCTTTCTAAGATTCTAAGAAAGCTTGTTACTCATGTATTTGGTCTTTGTTTAGTAAGAGAAGTTGGAGAAAGCTCCAAGAGCAAGAAAATGAGAAGCTAGAACTTGGTTAAATTTAGGCGTTTTCACCGATCGGTTTAGAATCCAAAATAGTACATTTATAACTCGTCTATACTACATGTAGATCACTAGATGTGTTTGGTTGGTTTGCATGAGTTATGAAGCATGTACTTATATAGCTAATTTAATAATCAGTTATTGTTTGTACTTATAACTCTGCCCCTCATCGAACTATAAATACAACTTTAATAGTATTTACATTTTAATTTCCATGACACTTTTAATACCTTATGACATTATAAATATGTGCCCATAATTATGGATTTTAATCCAACAATCTCCGACTTGGATAACATATGTTTCCTGATAAATGTATAATCTTACAAGCTCAAAACTTGATATCATACAAAAGATATTCTATAACAATCTCGTCCATCAAGTATATCAATATAGGATCAAAGTGGCCTTTTCCATATCTATCATGACTAGACCCATCAATGGTCACGTATACAAACATAGTCAAATGACATAGCTCAATCATGGAATGTAGCATGGAAACTACATGCAATGTTAACCTCACATGTCTATTTCCAATTGGTCCTTTTTTTAATTAATCATTGTTATCTGATCTGTTGATCGACTAATCCAGATCGGGTACTGCTGAGGCGAGGGCGACCCTCCCAACCCATTTTGCTCTATTTCATAAATTTCAATGTTAAAACCCCTGACCTTGCTTAAGGGATCTAGTGTCTCATTCCACTAGACCAACTGAGACACTAATGAGATCAAATTTTACCAAAATCAGAGTATGTATAAGCCAAAACAAACTTTATTTCTGCAGAAAATAACCTTAAAATAAATATCCTTAAACCATAGTAACTGAAATTATGTTTAAAACAAATGAGCATTTTTAAAATTACAAACTCCCACTAAAACTGAATATCCTTAAGTGATATTACACCCACATAAGTAGTGTGCTCAATAAAAACATTGGGTGACAATTCCTTAGTAAGCACACAATTATGAGTTTGTACCAATATGCTCTATAAACACATAACCACTATGAATTCATAAACATAATGTCTATGTGCTTAAACTTTAAGATGTTTATGTTATATATATATGGAGTAAAGGACTGGAACTTATTTGCTACAAAATAACTCAAGTAGTATTTCTTATCAATCTATAATTAGCAGCTCATGTGACAAAATTTTGCATCCATATTTTAATAAATCGGAGTCTATAAATCGGATGATCTCTTATAAACCGGATGATCTCTTACTTACTAGACCTCCGATATGTGAGCATGTAAAATTTTTGTTCTTAAATATATTGTATGAATCAATTTGACTGCTATCCAATTATTCATACCCAAATTGCTTAAATACCTATTTAATATCCTAAAATCATATGCTATGTCCAAATGTTTATAAACCTGAGTATACATTAAACTCCTCGTTTATTTTGAAGCATAAGGAACTTTTAATATTCTCTTACTTTCAAAATCATTCTTACAGCGCTGATCAGGACTAAATTTGTTTCCTTTAGCAATAAAGGATATTATTTGGTTTACTACCACTGAACTTGTAGTATATACAATTGTCAAGCAAATTCATCTCAAAACCAAACAAGATAATCACTTGATGAAATTTGTTATACAGTTAATGAGAGTCATACTTAAACTCATAAATTAATTTTCCTTATTTGCATATCATTAATTTTTTGTATCATCATACACAATTTTCTAATTGCACCTTATAAAACATCTCATCAATGTTCTCAATTTGAAATCCAACTTATGTAACTCAAGATTAAATATAAGCAACAAGTATCATGATTATCCTAAAAGAGTCTTTTAATGAAATCAGGATCTAATCATGCTAAATCATCAAGAATAAAAATACTAGATGCAGAAGCGTACCTGAATTAATTGATAGGTTGAAATAATTGAATATTTCTTTGGTTGTGATCTTCGAAAAAGATAGAGTTCCCTTAATTATAAACTCTCTGACGGGGATAAGAGTAATTACGAGATTGTATATTTCTTGGGAACCATAACTCCTTTATATAGCTAATTTTAAGAATAAATTATTGTATGTGCTTATAACTCTGCCTCTCATCGAATTATAAATACAACTCTAATAGTATCTACACTTTTATTTCCATGACACTTTTAATATCTCATGACTTTATAACTTAGTTGGTCACTTGATTTATGTTATATTTTAATATAACAATACACATTATAAATATATGCACATAATTATGAATTTTAATTTAACATTAAAATTTTTAAAAGTTTATTAAATTTTGTCCCCTTTGAGAATTCATGTGAAATAGACAGAAGTAGTTTCATTGACAGTCACATGAAATATATATAAGAAAGAAGCACAGTAACGTGTCAGAAACTGTTTCAATTACTTTAATACTTATCTCTCACTTATTCATGTAAACGAATTGAAAGAATACAAATGTTTGTTTATGTTCGTTCGTTTAATTTTAACTAGATAAGTAAACGAACACAAACAACTAAACGAACAAAATTTCTTGTTCATTTTTGTTCGTTGAGGAATGAAGCTTGTTCGTGTTCGTTTATGCTCGTTGGTTGAAATGATAAACGAACACAAACGAACTAATGCAAACTAACATAATTTTTTGTTTATATTTGAGAAGAGTTTTTTTAAAATAATTTTAGGGTTTATATTTTCTTTAACTAATTTGGATATTTTTTATTTGGATTTAAAATTAATTAGGTTTCAAAATATTAATGAGTTTAAGGTTAAACTTTATTAAGTCTTAATATTTTAAATGGGCTTGGATATTGGTATAAATATAAACGGACGAACATAAACAAAAATAAATAAATGAACATAAACAAATGGATTACCGATTGGTCACTAACATAAATGAATGAATGAACCTTTTATTTATGTTCAATTAATTTAATTAAACGAAAATAAAATTTTATTCATATTAATTTGTGTAATAAATAAATCAACATAACCAAGCTTTCCGTCAAATAATTCAGAAATTCGTTAAACGTTCACTGCAGGCATCAATGGAACTCATCAGAAATGGCTTTTAGATTTCAGTGATCCGTAAGAAAAATAAAGTACATATAGGGTAGGCACTCCAATACATCAAACTATATACTTGAATATTGGATTGTCACGACTTTTTTATCCAAATATATTCTATTCAAAAATATTTTTTGTTTTAACATCATTTTTCAATATAATATTTTTTCTTTACATAAATTAAAATCATGTTACGTGAAAAGTGTATATTCGCCCTGCAAGTGTAATTTTTATTTACATGACAATAAGTCGGTAACACATATATCTATTGGATTAAAATGAAAGGGAAAAAATTAGGATAAAAAATATAAAAAAATTATGCACAAATACGAACACGAACTAAGTTCAATGACATGCTTATATTTAATCATTAATAAGTACATGTTTAAAAAGTTATATTTGAACACTCAAAAACTCACATATCTATATAATTTTAGATTTAAAATTCATTCAAATCCATTGTAGTTTGAATATATGAGTTTTCAAGTGTTTATATATATATATAAACAACGACACTGATCGGAACCTCATTAAAAAATCCTCCGCCAGGAATACAAAACTTTGCCAAACCCGAAAATCACAGAAGAACCTACAACAAACTGCAGTATTCATCAAGATTAAGATGAGCAAAACGAAACCAGCACAAGCAGTAATCAGGCACTCACTACTAGCCAACTTAACTACTTTAACAGTATGTCCAACCCAGACTGAGCAGATGCGAGTACACGATCCAGTCTAGCCCCTGCTTCACCAAAACTCATAGCAACCATTAACAATAATCAACCCATCAATCACAATCCTCTGCATCCTTATCTAACAGAGATAAAATTTATATAATTTTTTTATATTTTTTCTTAATTTTAAGAGTTCTGATTTTTTTTCACAGTAAGACTTTGAGAATTGCATTCCACAAGAAGTACATTCTACGGTTACTTTAGACAAGTGGATATTATATTAAAAAATTATTTTTAAATTGAATATATTAAAGTAAAAATGCGTGGCATTGACATTAGTTATAGTTGATTGTAAGAAGAGGCAGAGCCAGTCCTTGTAATCAAAATGGTAGAATACATAGAACTTTGATTTGAACAATGAGAGATGTTATATAAGAGATGATTTCATAAAACACATTAATAAACTTTGATTTCTTTTTCTTTTTTTTTTGACCAGAGAGAGAAAGATTGCTCAAAACTGTGCGACATCAACCAGAAACAAACAAACAAAGAACATTATTATCGACCATAAACTTATCATACGGCCATTACAATATGTGATCACATCATCTTTTATGAAATAAAAAGGGGGAAATGGGCCTGAAGTTACAAGGACCAAAGCTTGTTCCACTTTCCCTTCACTTGTATTCAAGTGTCATGTTGTTTTCAGGGGACAGGCCAATGCAGGCCCTCAGTATGTTCTCCAGCATTGCACGCTGCTTTGACAATGCATTCACCACTGGTGTGCCTGGTGGAACCTGTAAAAACAATTCACTCACTTTTTACCACCAATGGAACCCCTTTCAATTTACTTTACAATTCACTTTTATGGATTAAAAGACAAAGGACTCACAAGAGGGGCCTTGCTGAGGTAACTGAGGATAGTAGCCACAGGGTGGAATGAGTGGAACTTTCCCTGCAAAATCAAAAGTTGATATGAAAATGAGTTAATTGTAAGCATAAATCGAAGCTAAAATGATGGGTTATAAATACCTCTCCTTCAGCTTTGAGCTGGATCCTGGTGCTAAGCTCGGCGAGGAGAACCAAATCAAGGATGATGGGAGCAGCCAACAATGAGTCCTCGCATGTGTTGTGCAACACGATGGTGTTGGTTCCGCCCATAAATATCTCCGATGTGTACTCGTCCATGGCTCTCTTGCTATCTCCCACATACGGCACATACTACAACACACACACAAAACAGAGAAAACCCCTCAGCTGCGACAAGTGCATCATAAACATGCCTAGATTGGTGAATTTATGCATTACCTTGATGACCACAACATGATCAGGATGTTCACCAGGCTGATAGATATTTAATTAAATATTTTTAATTAATTATGTAAATATTTTAAATTTAATATTAACTTATTAAAAAGAAAATATATCATAATGAAAATATGATATGTGCATTTAGATAATACTGTATTCCTTCGTTCAAAAATTATAATCTTACCTTGTCATTTAAAAGATTACATTCTTACCAATAATATTTCATCTGTGAACTAAACACACTAATTATAAATATGTAAAATTTCAACTAATAATTTAAAAGTTATATATCTTAAGTTGACTACGTCAAAACCCGCTGCTGATATTCTTTGTTAGTTTATGGTATCAACCAGTTACAAAAGAAAAACCATGAGAATGGGGGATGAAATTCAAAATTTTAAATTGTTATATTTTTAATTTTTTATTAATAATTTGTTTTTTTATAATTTTTATGTTCGTCCCCTAACATAAAAATTTCATCTACCCATACATGCGACTAAGAAGTCCATGATTAGAGGTGAGTAAAACTTGGCTCGGCTCGAAAAACTGATTTTTTTACTCGAATTGACTTCGAGTTGCAATTTCATAAATTCGACTCGACTCGAAAAAATTTCAAGTTGAAATTGAGTTGGAAAATACAACTCAAAATTTTTAATAATTAGTGTATTTATTTTCAAGTTTGAGTCGAATCATTTGACTTTTGTATATCACATATGAAAAAATATGAATAAATATATTTGTATTGTATATATGATTACAGAAAATCACTTAAATTAAAATCAAATTGTCGACACCGTTTTTCGCTCGGGCGGAGAAAAACAAATATCGACTTATGAGATTTTCTTTGAAAGGATTTTGAAATGTGAAGAGTCGCCACCAATCATTTTAAGGTGCGATCGGAACACTATAAAAATCGGGTGATTTTAATAAAACATTTTTATTTTAATCAAAATATTAAGTTTAGGGTATACGAAACCCAAAAAGTAGGTTCGGTAGTCGGTTACGCGTGGGGAAGGACTAGCACCCCCACAACGCCCAAAATTTGGTGCCTAGTTGATTACCCTTTATTTAGAATTGAAAATTTTGAGTTCAAACTTTATCTAATTTAAAAATCATTACGGATGCAAAGTTGAAAATGGTATTCGTTTATTAAAGCCAATAGCATTCGCCCCTAGCATAAATGCAGCAGATCATCTATTGTGCTCAATAACTGAACATTACCTCAATATTTTAGAAATCATGATGTAGTCTTGAAAAGGATGTCGGCCTATTTTGGGAATCATCAGTGGTCACCCCTAAGAATACTTGCGGGAGATATACTATTAACTCCCTAATAAGTGAACATTACCTTTTGTTTGAAAATATATGCAATCAAACAATTTATTAATCCTAAATAAACTAAAGGTAGATTAAGGTTTTCTCTATCTTAAAGTGTCCAACTCTGACGATTAAAGAACATAGTGACATAAACATAAAATGTAGGTTCTAATATTAATCCTACTTGATTTTTTTACCAATTATTAAATCGAATAATCAATATGGTCCCTTGATCATTTAGGCGAGGGCCAACTCAGATTACTCCCTAAATTAAAAGGACTAGCTTGAAGTCTAACTAAAAGTGGAGGCTCTAATTATCCAAATTAATTTAAAACTCTAATTAAAATAAAAGGGCTAAAATATAAGAGAACTAAACCTAGAGACCTATATGTAAAACTCTAGAGTTTGGAGACCTTAGTGTAAGTAAATTAAAGTAAAAGGACTAAATTTATAACCCCTAAATTTTAAGGATTAGTCAATAAATCAAGGTTCTAATAATTGGGCTAATTAACTATTAAAAAAAGAGGTTGAACTAAATAAGTTTTAAAAATTAGTTAATGATTAACAATTTGGGATTTGAACAATCGACTCGAGTAATTGAGCATTTTATGCGAAAACTAGAATCGAATTGTTACCTAATTAAATCTAAGGTGAAACTCTAATTGCTAAATCAAATTATTCACTTAAAGATCTTAATTCACAGGCAAATTCTAAAGGCTAACTAAATTAAATAAATATAAATATAAATAACCATGCATTTTAAGTATCAAACAACTAATAAGAATTTAAATGCAAACAAATAAAACAATATGAATTTTAATCAAGATCTTAACAAATTAAATATAAGGGACTAAATCACATTGTCATTAAATTTAGGGATTAAAAAGAAATAAATTAAACATGTAATAAAAGGGCTAAATTAAAATAAATTAAAATTAAATAACTAAATCAAAATAAATAAATAAAGATTAGTGACCAAGATATAAAACACACTGAACCTATAGGGATCAAATAATAATTATTCATTTTTTAAGCCTAAGATACAATATTAAGTAAAAATGCGAAAATGGCAAAATCAGTCCATCAAAATTAAAATAAATAAATAATCACTGCAAGTGGCCAAAGTGCAAAAACAAGCTAGAACTAGGGGACCTAAGCGTGAATAACCCATAAACTCGTATATAAAACATATTTCTCCTTTTTTTTCTTCATTTTCACCTATTTTTTTTAAAAAAAAGAAAGAAAGCTCTCCCCAACTCTCTCTTCCCCTCTCTCTTGGCCAACCACATACGAAGCCTCCCCCGCCGCTCCGACCATCACCCATGGTGGCAAGAATTCCAAAACCGACCAAAAAAAAAAGAAGAAGAAGAAAGTCTCCAACCTATTTTTAACCTCCTAAACTCATATATAGGGTCTAAAACAAAGTTCCTAGATATCCCAAAATTCCCCTAGACGCTTCGACTTCTCCCTCTCCGACCACCCGACGATGAACGACCTTCGGCCTGCTACCCCCTCTCAGGTAACTGTTCGGCTTCCTTACTCTTGTATATTTTATTTTTTTATTTTTTCGAAACTAAAAATAAAAGAAAATACCTTAATTTTGTTGCTCTTTATTGCTCCAAAAATAAAGGGAAAAGTCCCCTTTTACATCTGGTTTTTCATGTTTTTATACCCAAATATTACATAGAAAAAAATAAAATAAAGAACTTAATCGCTAACTTTTTTAACCATCACTGTTTGATGATGATTTGCATTTTTAATGCCTAGATTTTTCGGGGTTTATTGGGTTTGATATGATGATTTTCTTTTTGTTGTGTTGTTGAGATGATGATGGTGGAACAGTGAAGATAGCCAGCGCTACGGACGACAAGCGACGACGTCAACGGCTGAGATTTCAACTCTAGCGGCGGTGGTTGATGATAAGAGGAATTAGGGTTAGGGTTAGGGTCAGGTAAGGGTATTGGGCTAGGTTTTTTTAGTTTGGGCTCGAGTATGAGTTTGGTCTGGGCCCGGGTTTGTATTTGGATAAATGGCTGGTAAATGGGTTTGGTTTGTAATAATAATAATATAATAATAATTACGGGCTGAAAAATGGTGATTACCAAATAATACTATAATATTATAAATATTTACAAGTAAATTTAAGAGAAACTTGAAAAAAACGACTCGACTCGACTCTAAAAAATTTCAAGTCAACTCCGAATTATATAATAAGACTCGTTAACTCGAAATTTTTAATTCGATTCGACTCGATCGAACGTTCACCCCTACCATGATTGATTAATCACGATGTTGAAGTGATTGAAAGTGACTCATACCCAAATTTTGGCGTTTGGTTTTTGGAGTTAAAAAAAAAAGCCATTAAACAAGTTCGATTTTGATATTTTGTGGCCCGAAAGTGTCTGTTTTTCCTATGCAAAAGTGGAAGAAATGGTAATGCAACTGACCGGTGAAGTTGTTTTTGAATTGTGCGTCTATTAATAATGGAAATTCCTTTTTCTTCTTTATTTCTTTTACATGCCTGTAATTAAGAAACAAAGTCAATTAGGTACAACGAAACTAAACAAAATCACCACTTTAATTCCCAAAATATTATTTACAGTGTGAACTCATACTTTGGTTTTGGGGGGTGGGGGGGGGGCATCAACCCTAAAACTAAAACTTGGGAAATTCCTTTTCTTTTTATTTCTTTTGCGTGCCTGTAATCAAGTCGCGTCATTGTCAACTTTTTTGGAAAGTAGTGTCCTTGGAGCTTAAACTTTTCATAAAGCTTATTATATAAATGTGAGTGGGTAGATAATTGTTCTATCATCCCTGAACCTGATTGCTTTTGCTCCATTCTCATTTTTATACAACATATAATAAAATAATTACTTTGATCATTTATATTTTTTAAGTATTTTAATTTTAATATTTTATTTTAACATAAAATGTCTCTTGATTAAATGTAAATCATTAATGTTATTGAAATGAGATTGTCACGTATTTAAAGTGATGACTTAATACATATTATATGTCGAAAATAATGACATAGCATATGTTACACATTGAAAGTGATAGCGTTGCATATTTCACGTATCGAAAGTGATCACGTGATAATTACACATCAACAACAAACGTTAATCATTAGTTAACTAATATTTTTTATTCAAGAACAAACCGTTTTGTCATAAAATAATTAACACACGAAAATATCTTTTTATTTTAAAATAATTATTTTGAAATTATTCTTTTTTATAGAACATTTTAATTTTAACATTTTATTTTAAAATAAAAATATCTTTATTTTGAAATGTTGTTGACTAACAGATTTCATCTATGAAAATAAGTTTTTACTCAAAAATATCAGAGTAACTAATTATTCAATTATTAGTAATATTTTTTATGTTATACCTTTTAGTTTTGAAATTCCAGCTTCCCAAACCAAGAACTTGGTGGTTAAATGTCACATTAATTGCCATTGAAATTATAAAATATAAATTGAAAAATCATATTTAAATATAAAAATTCATTAAAATAAAAAATATATACAAATTCCATTACTGTTTCATAAGTTTTATTTTGTTACGTTTCCTCGGCTACTATTATGTGCTCTAATTCCACATAATTATTGGACAAGATTAAAATTGAAACGGTAAACTTTAACGTTTTTCTCGTTTTTATTAACTTTCACAATTTTCATTTAAAAGATACACGACTCAAGCTTTTACACCTACACT